CTAAAAAAAATAATGAAACCTTACTGTCTTCGTTCTATAACGTATTAAACTTAGCTATTTCTGCATCGGTTATGATCAAGCAACCTCGACCTCGAAGCAGATGCACGCCATGGTTTAACAAGACAATTGAATATTACAAAAATAGGAAAAACAAACTTTTCAAAAAATTTATGATTTCGTCTTCTTTCGACTATTTTGCCTATTCTGCATTAAAGCATAGATTTAATTACCTCGACCACCAATATTATTGCAGATACGTTCATTTGATAAAATCCTCACTGCTTGTTAATCCTAGATATTTTTCAAGTTCATCAACTCCAAAAGAAAAATCTCCACATATCTCTCGCAGGCTTCTTTCAGTGGCTCCGAGTCTTCTGATGATATCAAAACCTCAAATCTCTTTGCTCGATACTTCCGACGACATTTTTCAACTGCTAATTCCCATTCATCTGTATCGGTTTCGATTCCTAACTTGCTCATTTCAGAAAATGATGTTTTAGATGATTTAAGGTCTCTAAAATATAGTTCTGCGCCTGGGCCTGATAGGAATCCATCATATGTACTTGAAACATGCTCTGACGAGCCAAGTGGTATTATTTCAATGATTTTTAACCAGTTCTTGAAATAAGGTGCTTTTCATTTGTATAGGAAGAGTAGTTTCCTTATTCCAATTCCCAAATCTGGAAATAGACGTCACTTTGAGAACTATAGAGTCATCGCCAAGTTGAGTGTCTTACCGAAATTGTTTGAGCGAATTGTTACTCAGCATCTAGCTTTTGCTATTAAATGTTACATTTTTCCCTTCCACGATGGCCTTCGGAAAGGAAGATCTACTTTGACGAACTTCTTAAAGTTTATTTGCCATGTTTTCAAGGCTTTCGCTAGTGGCTCTCGCACCAACGTCGCATTTACTGATTTTAGCAAAGCGTTTGGCTTAGTTAACCATGACTTATTGGTCGTTAAACTTCACACCTCTGGCTTCCCTTTGTACTTAGTGAAATGGATAAGTTCGTATCTGCCTAACAAATTATTTTGGGTTTTGTTTAACTTCATCACCTTGGATAAATTTCCGTGACGCCTGACGTGCCTCAAGGCAGCCATTTTGGACCCCTTTTGGTTAATTTATACATTAATGATCTCCCCTCGGTGATTAAATCCGGCAAAGGGATCTACTAAAGTAGACAATATATCGATAAATGGAACAAGGATTAATCAGGCAGCATCTCTTAAATTCCTTGGCAGGATTATTAATGCAAGTATAACCTTACCTGGACTCCTTTCAGCACAGTTAGTTTGGAACAAATGTTATCAAACTCATGAGCAAATTGCAAAACGGACTTCCCCCAAAAGAAAGCTTCCAATGCGTATAAATGTTTACTCCGATCAAAAATAGGATATGCCTAGTACACTTCACGTCATTTGCCGGAATACATAACGAAAAAAATACACCTGTTTCAACACTTCGGCTAAGACGCTGCGCTAGTCTCTCCGGGTGAACTTCCCGTTTCGAAGTGGGCCTATCTGCTAACTGCTAAGAAACTTTTAAAAGTGAAAATAGGTAGACCTTCTGTCTTCGAAACTATGGTCTCCAGAAATAATGAAGTCTTTTGCAGCTATGCAAGCTGATACCAGAACTTCTGATCTGAATTCCACGCCGCAGTTATTTCAGTTTTTAATGTAATGTCTGATATGCATACGCGTGAGATTCTATTTGACGTTACAATCCATCAATTATCCTCCCAGTGATGCTCTCTGTCTAATTCGGAAAAAGATCACGCAAGGATGGAAGGATAAATATGATGCTCAAAAGGAAAGATCATCTTCTCAACTCATGAGCAATCATACATACACATACTATTTATATGAAAATGATCAAATGATGTCTGTGAATAGTGCAGCACTGCAAAGTCAGCTGAGCCTTTAATTTTTGAATGCAGAAAGTTCAACGCCTTTAGATAATCTTCTTTGAATTATACAATAATTTATATGAAATTTTTCGTACTCGCAATTTTACACATCTCAAACAACTGACTGCCTTCATCAACTAAACGGCTGTTTGTTGCAGAAAAGTTTTCCAGATTAGACCTTAGAGAAACTTAAAAAAAAAAAAAACAACTTTTTAAACCAGTGGAAAATTTTATAAGTGATTATATATATAAGGCGAGATTGAGACCTTTATTTGAAATCCAATACGTGTCCCTTTCAGTCAAATATACTCCTTTTCTCGTTGGCTCGGAACTGTTTGCAATTTCATAACCACTACTTTCTATGTCTACCCAGCGGGATCTCTATAACATTCGCAGACTTCTATATATAATATTGAATAAAGTAATTAAATTCTTTTACAAGATATTAAGAACTGTTTTATTTTTAATTTTATAGTAATTCGTATAGTATATGTACAATGTACATCCATATACATATATATATATATATATATATCGATCATTGAGAATTTTATATATATGCCTGCAAAAAAATTAAATACAATTTTTGTATACAAAACAATCATATACAATCATATACATATATTTGAAACATATATATATATTTACATATATATACACATATATGAGAAGAGAAGATTTAAAAAAGATTTAGATACGTCTTGTAAACGAAGACTTTATTGTTAAGCACACTAACGGGATACATAATATCTGTCATTCTTATTATTATTATTATTATTATTTTAATTTTAGACTAATGAATTGAATTCTTAGACTAAAAAAAGAGACATTGAGCACTAGCAACACAGGCTATCATTCTTAGAAATAATGCATTGGAGATACAATAATGCGTTTTCATGATGATCGCTTTTAAAGTTATCTCGCTTTCTCACTATGTAAGGCAAACATGTAAATATTTGCATTTTCTTTCTACAAAGTGCTTGGGTACGTTGTAAAAATCAGAAGTATATTTCAAAAACCTGAAAACTCTATGTACACTTGATCAAAATTAAATTCTGAATTACCTGAAAAGTCCACTTCCACTGTTAACATGATCCATTCACCTTCTCGGGCGGGAGCGTTTTCCCAAGAGACCTCTAGAAAGCGTTTTTCTGCACTTATTGTTAGCCATAGATTCAAATTTGTGGCATCTTCTATTGACGATGAAGAGGATTTCAAATTCAAACAAAAATGGAAAGAATATAACTGCAGGGATTTACCGAAAAAGTGTTTACATTTTTGTAATTTTGTTTTTATTTGACTTTTCCGAAAATTTAATTTAGTGTTTTTTTTACGTTTCTGCTTTACTTTTTCCGTAACGTTATTTATTTGTTTTTATTTTTGTTTTGAAACATTTAAGTAATTTACGCTTTAGGAATATTTACCTAAAATCTATGCTTAAACGAATACCTTCGCCTACGCATGTGACTGTCGATGTCGCTTAAACTGATATCGAGATGCTGGAAATACTCTCAATTGGTAGTTAATGCGGTTAATAAGTTCGCTCCACTTTTATTAATTTTGAACAATTAAACAAATTAATTGTTTAGTAGATTTTATATTCATTTTTAAATTATATAAAAAAAATTTGTTTTGTTTTCTTAAACATACTTTAACTTTCGGAAATATTGAACACCCTTAACCATAATCAACAACTTTGTATGCCGAAAGCAGCGGCCACAGTTCGCACAAAGGACTTTAAAATGTGTACATATTTGGTAACAGAATGAAAGTAAGTTTTTCAAGCAAGTTATTTTAAATTTATTTTTTTTTTATTTTATAGTTACCATTCTCTGCTTAGACGCTATTCGCAACAACGATAATGCTTAAAATTCACACTGCAACTGAACAGATTTTGTGATTGGTAATATAACTGTTTTTCTTTTTTTTACAACGATCATATATATATGTGTGCATATATGTGTATTGATGAATACATAAATTGAAAAATGTTCTTTATCGGCCCTGAATCGGATCCGCTGATTGTAATTTCATTGTGTAAAATCACATATATGTGTGCAAGTACCCCATACACCACAAATAAAATAGATACCTTAGGTTCGCAGACACAATACAATACAAACATAGTTAAAAATGTACAAAATAAATGTCAAAGCAACAGTTTTTTTTGTTATTCGAAAAACAAAAATAGCGCTGTCATCACACAATGTAATGGCAGGGTAACCTAAGTTCGTTGAATGGAACTTCTTCATGGTTTTGTATGTCAGCATTGGCGCAGATACAGCCGCTATGAAGTAAAAATTTGTCTCCGTAAAGTCTCGATTGATATAACCGTTTAATAAGTTTTTCAGGACATTTACAAAACTCCATTTTGCCGAAATTTTACGACTTTTACAAAATTTTCCTCACTCACGTCAAATTTATTTAAAGCTATTGAACTTTTTGCTTATTTATGTTTTATTTCTCGATTAAAATTATGGCTCCGACTCGTATAGCGAAACAGCAAAGGGCAAATATTATTTCTAGACATGCTCTTTTTTGGGCGAAACGAATTCGAATTCACAACGTTAATTTAGAGTTTTCTCTCCTATATCACATAATTATATATATTTATATATATATATACATATATACATGTACGTACAAAAATATCTTCTTTATGTATTATATGTTTATATTGTATTATTTGTTTTATTTGTTTTATATTTATGATTTACTTACTTTCGACGACGCTATATAATATACATATATATCGCAATAAATCATGTGTTTTGCGAGCAAGCAGTCACGGACTAAACAATTTTCAATATGAAGTTGGCAACACTTAATATTTTAATTTACATAAATATGCAGCAATTATTAACAGCAGTCTTTGAAAATTTCTCCGGATTCTAGGGGATCCACGCAATGGTCAATATGGTTTTAGAAAAAATCTCCTGTTATAATGATAATATTCCTTTGAAATTATGCATACAAATAATAAAATTGTAACATGACGTTGCTTTTTATAAAATCTAAATACTGTAAGGTTAACAGTGCAGCTGGTAGCACTGACTTAATTGTGCAGACGTTACAGATCTGTACAACTACCTTCAAATTAGAATTTAACTACATATAAAAAGAAAATTAAAACTTGACTAATTTCGCTTTAATAGTAAGCTATGGATTTAAGTGGTAATCGAAAAATTATTTTTTTTTCTATACTTTTTTTTAGAAATTTGTTGAAATGATTAATAAAGTTTAACTAATATGTGGTTATCTTCGCTACTTTTAGCCTATTCTTTGCCGAAAATAGTTAAGGAAAAACGTGAGCGACAACCGAATTGGACAGAACCTGAGAAGCAATTGCTGCTTTCGCTTACGCGCATGCATCAAAGTATATTGGAAAATAAAAGTAGCGATACGATGACTATTAAACGTAAATCTGAAGCCTGGGATGAAATTGCGCAAAATATGAAAGCAGTTGGTTACAATCGCTCAAAGGAACGCCTTAAACAACAATTAGGCCGCATCCGGGCGGCAGAAGCTAAAAAAGTTAAAGAAGCCGTGGAAAAAGGACTAGCACCTGGCTCTAATATACCAGCTATTACAAACGAAAATTTGCCTGTGGATAATAGAGTAGATACAAGTGTGCGCTCTTGCGCCGAAAATCGCTTGGAAACAATTTTCGACAAATCGGCCGTTCTGCCAACACCGCTGCAAGATGAATTGCACATTAAAGCTGAAAAGTCACCATCTCTTGACGAATACGATGGCGAATGTCTAATGCAAGAACATCCCACTCCGATCTCAACATCTGTAAGCAATAAGGTGTCGGTTACTAGCGTTAGCAAATCTTACGAGTCCAGCGTTATGCAAGTTATGCTGCACAACCTTGATTCTTTATCAGAAATGATGGAAGCGGGTGATATGAACAATTCTTCCAATAACAGTTCATTACCTAGCGTGGCTAATGCTACTCTTGATTCTAACGTTAGGAACGCATTCGCTGCTACCGCTGCCACAATCGATACTGCAACAACAACAACTGAGAAAACTGTACATTTGCAGCAAAATCAACATGAAGTGCGCTTACATGAAACCAACGTGCGCCCCGCAACGATGGGCCGTCAGCGACGTCCTTGTCGACTTCACTTTTATCGAATTGCTGTTGAGCGGGAACGTTTGCGCACTTTGAAATTGCAACAAAGGCGCGATATACTTGTCGAGCGGGAACGTTTGCGCAACTTGAAATTGCAGCAAAAACGCGATCGCGTTCTTTATCTTAAAGATGTACAAATACAAAATCTTAAATTGCAAATCTTACGTAACCTTACTACTCAGAATCGTGATAATAATCGTATCAATTTTTAATGGTTTCACATCGCTATCCAACCAATCCATTTTTTATTGCATCAACATTTTTACATTTATTTACCTTTGAATTCCGTACAAAAATTATGTTTTTTTTTTATGTTCAATGTATAAATAATATTTGAAATTAATGTCTTAATATCGAGTTCATATATATGCTTGTGAATAAATTTAAATTTATATGAAGAGAAATAATTCCTCATTAAAAGAATTAGAAAATTTATATATTTTTGTAAGTCAGGGAGATGTTCCGGCAGAATCATTGATTTTGGTGATTATGATTATTATTGTGATAAAGTCTTTGTTCAAAATTGCAATTCATTTGTACCTATATCGCTTCAGCAGATTTCCGCACCAATTTCAATGCATTGTAACGGCACGAGATAACAAATTCATCAATCGTTTCTTTTGGAATGAAATGAATTTCGTAATTGACTTGAAATTACGAATATGCTGTAAATGAATGTAAAACAATAGCAACGTAATTTTTACATCATCTCCTTCGAGATGTAATCTTTTATTGTATTCGCACATTCAATGGATTTAATATACGTCCCGCCATCACTGCCACGTCCAAATCACGATCGACAATGAAGAACATAAACGGATGATTAACTGAGATTTGTATCGGCTGCGTTTGAGCGCCATTCGTACCTTCATGTGTGAAGTTAACCAAAAATAAAAACAAAAACAAAAAAAAGAAGAAAACATTAAATGCAAAAATAGTGTATACTACCATCCATCTAACCCTCCCCTCGCGGCGGTTAATTATTATACAATAATTGTTATTGTTGTGCATGGCTGGTTAACTAAATGGTCTGTACAAACAATTTGGTGAGAGATATTTCGCGATACGCTTATATACTTACGTCTCAATTGATTGATGGGATGTGTGTGTATATGAATGTTAATCGATTGCTCAATATGCCTAACGTAGATTGATTTCTCATCAGTCATTGGTCGAAAATCTGCCCGATTCGGCTCAAATATATCTCCAATGCCCATCTGTAAGTGAATTTTAATGAATAAAATTCTCTTTTTATTCAGTTTAACTGACATTTTGTAAATCGTTTGTTAAAAACATTACGCCATTTAATTGAAAATCGGGTATTGTCGCTTGAACCCATTTAGGTTTCAATTGCTTACGAAGTAATCGCAATTTCGGTGCGAAACGTAAAGATGCCGCTGCCGTTACTAAATCTGTATGAAAATCTGGTAATAGTATTAATAAATTATATTCCGGTGTATTTAATTCCAATTCAATTGCGCTCATGCCCAAATTATTAAAATATTTATAATACAATACGGCATTGTAGACCTTAAATGTGGTATAAATTGTTTGCTGATTACCCAAATAGAATACATGACTAATGACATCGGTATTATAATTTTGTTTAATAGCATTTCCAATTTCGCCATTATTTGTACTTGTAATGAAATTTGGATTTAATTCGGTTCCATAATGATTTGAAATTACATTTAAATTTGGTATATCAACAGAGTGATGTTCGCCAATATTGGGTAAATGGGCAGTTGGATGCTCAGAGTTGAATAAAGTTACAAAGAGATTGGAATTTAAATCCTTATAACCGAAAAGATGACGCTTATGACGTTTAATTAATTTTCGGTTTGATCGTTTTGCCGGTAAATAATTAACTTTAGGTTTCATAGAAGATAATGGCGCCTGAAGTTTGGCGCTCGGCAATCGTGTTACACGAACTTTTTGTATGCGAGCAAAGGGTTCCGAATTGTCGTCGGCTATAAACGATGATACCAATTCGGCGGCTTCAACATTCGAAACCGCTTCACCTTCTGTTATGCCTTCTATTGGAGCCGTAGTTGTTACTTCTTGCATACTTTCTTTAGAATCAAACGTTGTTGTAGTTTCCGAAGACGGATTTTCTTTATCATTTATTGTTGTTCCTGATGTCACTGTCTCCGATGTGGTTAAAATATCTGTCATAGGAGTTGTTGTAGTTATGGTGGGGCTGGTGGTGGAAACTTTAATAGTTGCTTCTGTAGGTATTGAAGGTGATTGCTTCTCGGTCGTTTCAGGAATGCTTGTGCCCTTAGAGGGACGTGACTTTGATGTGGTCGTCGTCATATCAGGCATCATTGTTGATATCATATCCATGCCCAAATCATAGCCATAGAATATTAATATATTTTCATATTCTCGACTAATTGTTACATTTTCTTTATTTAAACTTAAGCCCTTTAATGGGTTATCTGTGTCAAAAAAGTATGTCTAAAAAAAAAGGTAAAACTTTAGATTTCTTTAAAATAAAAAAATCTTTTGTAATTACGCGGATATTAGGGCCTTGAAAAGAAGTCTTTTGTACAAGATCTTGTTCATTTTTCAGCGATCAACTTGTAATTTGTAAGTAATATCCAAGTTAATTGTCGAAACTTCATGCAATACGAACATATCTCATTCGAGGTTCAGTAGCTTTCAAAAATCATATGAATTTATCAACAATCATCCTATGGTTTGTAAAATATCCTAAGACCTTATTCAGTGACGTATTTGATGTGGTGGCATTTCAAGTTAACTTTTTTTCTTCTTCTGCGAATCAACAAATCAACAACAGATGATTTACTGAGTTGAGCAAAAAGATGAATCATGCACAAAGAGAAAAACCGTATGCATTCGTCAGTAGTCCGCCTATATCTGTATATCGACCTACGAGGCTTTTGAGTAATGTATTACATATCAGTGGTTAAAATGTAATATTAAATTTTCTTCAATCAAGTTAATATCAAATACTAACTTGAGCACAAAAGCTAAATCATCTAACTTTCAGAAGAAGAAGCAGAAAAGAAGGGTTAATGTTCTATATTGAATTCAGTAAGAAATTCAAATCATCTATTGTTGATTTGCTCAGTTATAAAAAAAGAAGTAGAAAGTTAATATCAAATACTGACTTGAGTAAAAAAAGTGAATCATCTGTTGCTGAGTTGCTCCAGCAGAGAAGAAGAAGAAAAATTAATACCAATGTTAAGTTCAGTAAAAAGTCTAAATCATGTGATCACTTCCAGAAGAAGAGGGAAAAAGGTTATATCCAATATTGAGTTGAGTAAAAAAAGCAAATCACTTGTTGATTTGCTCGCTTATGAAAGAAGAAGAAGCATAATTAATATGGAATATTAAATTTAGTAAAAAAAGTAAATAATGTGTTGTTGAAGAAGAAATGTTAATATCAAATATTAAAATGTCAAATATAACAACTTTTATTAGGGCTGTTTAAAACTTTAGTAAACAAATAGATGTGGTCATTTTTTATGCTGTTTTTGGTGAAAATACAAGCGACTTCAGCATATAACTCAATTAGAAAAGAAAGATTAAATATTAAAATAACTAATAAGTCAATAAAATCAAAAATTTAAGTAAAAAAATCTTCAAATAATTTAAACTAACCAAAAAATTCTTATAACATGTTATTGGCGATATACAGTTGAAAGGCTTCCGCCCAAAACTTCAAAAAGAAATATGTATACATATAAATACATATCTAAATGTGGTTATTCTCTACAAAAACTCAGCATAGATGGCAAACTGAAATCGAAATTTGTCCTATGATCCGCAAAAAAGCTACTGGTAAACGGATTCCCATTGGCCAACTTACATGCCCCTGTATAAGAAAATATTTTGCAGTTTCATACATTGTATACCGTAGGACCAAAAGTATATTCTTCACACAATGAATGAAAATGGGAAATTTCAAAAAGTCTCTAAACGGGTTATGCGAAAAAAAAGTTATTCTCATATCTACCACCGAAGAGAGAAGATATATTTATTGTGTCAATCTTTGCAATCACCAGGAGCTTCAAGGAGCCTATAAAGTATTTACGCTTATGTTCTTGATCGGCATCATATTTTGAATTGATTTAAGCATGTCTGTCCGTCTGTCCGTTTGTTTAATATCTGTGGTGAACAATCTCTTAACAAAATCAATGAAACCATCCTATTAAACGGAAACCTTGAAAGTTCTTGCCAACAAGTTGGCTTTTAAAATGCACCAAATCGGTGAAAGGATGCATGCCTACAATATCATGTCAATTGAGAATACTTCTGTCTTTCAAAGCATAAAGAATCTCCTCACAAGGTACAATCGATAAAACTATACAAATTTCTATGTCTATTTTATTCGCCATTCTATAGTGTCAGGCCCGACTAATGTTAAAGAATATTAGAATTTTATTTTTTTGGTAAAATGTCTGTAAAAGGGAAGCTGCACAGTATTCCCTAAAGTATAAATATTTTTGATTAGCATCAAATATTGAGGTGATGTACGCAAGTCTTTCCTTCCGTCTGCCCGTATTTAAGGATTTGTAAGGTAAATTTTGTGCACAGTCTGTGCAATGTTTGTTGTAAACATTCGCCTAGCTACAGGAATGAGACTTGACAGAAACATTGGAAGTTTTCGAAAAGTTTTGGCGGAAGACCGGTCGAAGCGGAGAATCCCTATTTTTTCCAAACGGGGAAAAATTGGTTACGCGCAAACTGCAGCAGATAAATCTGTAAAAAATTTAAACGTATAATTTAAAGGCGATGCTGTAGTACTTACGCAATAATCGAAAAAATCGGGAGCGTTTACCCAATATTATAGCGCATCACAATTTAATTTTATTTTGCCAAAATCGTTATAACGTTCAGAAGCAAATTTTAAAAAATTCATAAGGTATATACTATTCACCAGTATCAAATTCCGAATGCACCTAAGGAGGTCCGCCTAACTATGTATCTGTGGTAAACAATCTCCCATTCGTAAAAATGAAGGCAACGCCTCCTAAATTGTAAAAGATTTTGAAAATTGCCTAAAACGGTCAAAGGACACGTCTATAATGCAACCAAAACTGCGAATATTTTTGCTTTCCGTGTTCAATACACTAAACCTAAAACAAATAAGCTGTATATATTTCCACTTCTATTCTAAAAAATAGAAAAAATCATCCTCGCCCAACCAATATTATAAAGTACGGAACTTTGATTTTTTCCAGTTTCTTTTTTTTTTGGGTCTTATTTAAGATAACGGTGATGGGTACAAAAGATTTGATCACATCCGAATACAATTTTTTTATTTGTTTCTATTTTGACTTTGCCTTGCGATAGCTCATTCAAATATTAAGATCGTGGCTACTTACCCTTAAACGTCGATGTATGTCACGATAACCCACACGTATGATATCCCGATTAGATGGTAAAAAGAGTGTCGTTTTTAGTTCAGTTGCACTACGTCCCGCTGAGCCTTCATAAAGTGCTATTAAAATACTCATTAAAGCCGTGGGAGAAAATGCAAAATTGTTTCGATTCAAAATCGAATGATAATACATGATGCGATATGTTAAATCATTAGTTAGATCAACCATTAGTTCGGCTGGCGACAATTCATTTTCACTTTGTCCTGATATTATTTGCTCCGTATGTGAGACTGAGGTTACATGCGGCAGTAATAGTGGTGGCAAATAAGGTTTCAAAATGCTGCTATGTTCAAATCTATCATGATCGACTTGAATTATATGGGCTTCGTATGAGTTTAAAAACACTGAATGCATCAATAGTACCACCACAGATTTACAAAAGTTTTTTCGCTTCAGAATAAACATAACTACGTTCTTTTCTTTTCTTTTTTGGAACTATTAGAACGATAAGATTGTTGATAATAATGTGATAAGGAATTTATTTGTATGATAATTAGTCTAAAAAATATTTAGCCTATAGTGATTTATTAATGTTTTTTTATTAGATTGATGTGAATTAGAAAAAAATTTTAGTAAAATAATGTAAGAATTTTTAATCGCTTAAGGGATAAGTCCACTGCAAACTTTTCGAAAAATCAATTCTTATAGTCTACACTGTATGCGGTACAGGTTGTGCAGACGGACACCCAGAAAGACTGGAGAGAGACTTATCTTTCATTACGTACAAATACATATATTCGGAATCATTTTCTGTATCGATCCAAATTTGTCCACCCGCCTGTCCATGTTGCCTTTTATTCAACCTACAGGCCGCAATTTCTGAGCTATTTTGATAAAATTTGGTACGCTAACGTATTTTGACCCAAGGATGAACGCTATTGAGAATGATTCGTGCCATTCACCTTAAAATGGCTTATTTTGATAAGTCGTTACAGGGAAAAATATTGTAATTATTACAAATTCGTGATACAGATCGTTTAGTACAAGCAATCCGGGCATTCTAAATAGGTGTGAAAACAATGAAACGGATGAAGTAATTTTTTGAACGCCTTGCCATATAACTGCCCTTACGGAAACTGAATCTCTCTATCGTGAAAGGGTATAATTTTCAATGCTTTATGATATTTTATGAAAATTGGTGCATAATTGCAAATTGAGAAAAAAATCATTCTTACCGAATTTAGACTGCGCTGGTATGCACTTATATGCCGTAACTGTTAATAGTTAATAGTTTTTGAATAACACTTTTTTGTGATATTAATTAGACATAAAAAATGAAGTGTACCAAATTTGAACCACAATGGTCTATTTTTTGGCCGCCCTTCCATACAAAGTTTCTCATGAATAGTAAATGCTTCAGAAAAAGATTGATTTTTCAATATTTTATGATGAAAGTTAGTCCATAGTAACAAATTAACATCAGGGAATTCTGAATTACATAGGTCTATTTTTAAAACTTCAAGAAAACCAAGCACTTATATGGAAAGAAAATGTAATTTCTGGTCTTTTATGACGGAAAATAAAAAATAATAAAATATGAGGGAAGTAAATTAAATTTATTAATATGGATCATGCCATATGATGTTTTGGGCATTTTCCGATATGTGGATTTGCCTTGTGAAGGAAAATAATGTATAATTTTTGGTGAGTTATAACCAAAACGAGTAAATAATTGTAATATGCGAAGTGTAGGGTGTAGGGTATCTAATGATCGCCGTTGCCTGGCTATAGCATTCTTATTCGTTGGTTTGCGATGATTAAAAATCGATTTTTTTTATGCAATTGTGTGGCAATATGCGGACCCTATAGACATTAAATGCATTTTATTTAAATTACGATTTGTGGAAACGGCACGCAGCATAACTCGAACAATTTTAATTTTTTTCGTACGAATTTTTTATGAACATCTTTAAAATAGTCTTCTCAAGTGAATCACTTAGGATATTTTTGGTAAATGTTTGTATAAATGAAGGAATGACTTTTTTGTCCAAACTCTGAACTTTTTCACTAATAATACTCATTAATTACGCAGAAATCATTATTTCTAGAAACTCCTAGATATATAGATTATACGATTTTTACGATACGATAAGTTGCGCGCCGCAGATCGACATAATTTGATAGTGCCCCGCGAGCAGGACTTCAGAGTTGTCATTTTTGAATATTTTTCAGAAATATTTATTTTTTTTATATTTAAGAACATACGCGAATCTTGCCAAATATTATATTTTATTTTATACCAAAAAAATTGTCAACAAAATTTTTATTTTTTTTAAAGTTATTACAATGGACGCACCTCTTGCAATGCTCTTTAGATCATCTATCTATCTATCTATCTATCTATCTATCTATCTATTAAAAGTTCTATATATTATTTTTGCCGAGCTAACAACTGAAATGCGATTGACTGCGATTGATGAGATTTATTGTTAATTTATTTGAAATGAATTTGCGTAGCGTTAAATTAATGAAACTTGACTCTCTCATACGATAGTTTAAAAGCGACTAAATCTTGTAAACAATGTTGCATGTTCATTGTATGCTGGCTCTTTGTTGACCGTGCACTTAATTGTAAATAGCTGCCACAATACGAAAGTTTAACGTAAGCTTATATATATACATGTTTAGCTTTACTTTAGTAGATTATCGAAATCTTTTTTATTACAACAATTTATTTTTACACCGATCACCCAAGAATGACTGGTACATTCATTCTTTCAAAAGGTTTGCAATGCCCAGAAGGAAGGATCAGAGATGCCACAATGAATATATATTATTGACTAACATCAAATTCTAAATCGATTTAATCATGTCCACCTGTTCGTCTGTTGTAAACATTCTCCTGGCCGTTAAAATGAAACTATCGACCTTATATTTGGCAGAAACATTGGATATTCTTGCATTCAGTTTGGTATTGAAAATGTGTCAAATAGGTCGAAGGACTCGCTTGCAGTACCACATGAACTGAGAACATCTCGGAACGGAACAAAATGAGAAATTGGTTTTTTATTCATTACTCATAAACTATAGCAAATAAATGTACAAAAATTTGAACGAATGTTGTGTGGGCGATGCTGCAGCATCTTCACAGAAATGGAAAAAAATTGACTACGCCTGCCAAATATTATTGTGTACTAAATTTTAATTTTTTTTTTAAGGCTTTTGAAAAGAGCAAAAACTAGCTTCAAAAACACCGCAAAGTATATAAATTTTTAGCCAGTGTCAAATTTGGAAAGCACCCAAGCGTGTCCGTCTATCCATGTGTATATCTGCTCATCTGCTTGAGGTGAGCGCTCTCCCGTTAGCGAAAATGAATATATCGAATATAAATTTGCAAAAGAATTTCGGAGGGATCTAAACTTTTGGCTCCCACAACGCTTTCATTATAAAGGGCTTTACCAAATCTATTTTTTTTAAATATAAAGGAAAAATTTTAAATTTATAAGATATATTTTTAAAAATTTTACTTTCTTTTCCCTTTTGTTTTTCCCTTTACTATATAATTATACTCTAAACCACTTGTAGTACAGGATATATTAAGTTAGTGCGGACGTATGTAACGCATAGAAGTGCTTAAGATAGTGCCTATTATTTTAAGTTTGTCTGTCTGCCTGACGAACACAAGACAAACAGGCTAACAGATAAGTTTAAATCGATTGAGAAAGTGATTGTGATTCGATTGTTATAACAAAAGGTCAAGACATTTTGAATACTGCCTACATTCACGCAAACTTAATATAGCCTTTGTACAGATATTTATTAAGTCTATAAAACTGTTGCGAATAATTAGTAAACGACTATAGGATGTTAATAAATCTCGAAAATTCATAACTATTGTAAGAATCTCTCACTGGACGCTATATTAAAGGGCTAATAATCGATCTGTGAATGAACAGAGCGATCGGCTCGGTAATAAAAGTTGTGAAGGAAAAAACGGAAAATGTTTGGTATAGATCTTGACAGTGCTACGAGTTGAATAACTAAACTTTTATTTTGTAAACTTGTTTCCTAAGAATGAAGAATTTCATCGTCAAATATATTAAAAAAAAATTAAAGAAATCCAAATGCTTCAAGAAAACTCCGCCCTATTTACTGCGCCGGATACATCAGACAAACAGGTTTTCATACATTATACTTATTTAGCAATATGCGTTAACCCAAAATAAAATTTTAATAATTTTCTGTTTTTCGACTAAGTAAGATTAAAAAAAAAATAAAAATTCGTATTAAATTTTTTTTCTTCCTCATTTCATTATATTGGCTAGTTTGGTAAAAAGTTAATAAAATGAAAGAATGAAAGACGAATAAAAAAATGTCGAATACTTAAATTGGTTTTTAGATGAGAGTAAGGTAGGGTTAGAAAGGTCTTTTGGCGTCTTTCATAGGTACATCATGGTCTGAAGGACACCATTAGGTAGAGCTGGTAGTTAAAGGCTTAGGGCTTAGTGTATGCCTGTTCGATAAGTCTGTCCGTGTTTTCTTTAAAGGGTAAGCACGTGCTGTTGTTGTAGGTGTAAACGTCTGAGCAATGTCCGAGAGCCAAAAATATAAAACCTCTCACACATCCCGAACTAGTTAGCTCAGCAAAGGCAAATACATCGGTTTCATTAGCTTCTAAAAATGATACAGTTTGAATTTTTTTTTCTTTGAACAAGTAGGTGGGATCAAAGACGCTTTGGTTATTGATAAACTTAATAATTATCATTACAGCTTGTACCACAGGTCGTGTAGAGTACAAAAAGGAAAGATAAGTATTCAGAATAAGATACATTTGACATTTGAAGGACAAAAAACAATAATTTTAAATAATATAATTTCAAATCTAGCACGACATAGAAATTACTATAAGAAAGATAAGGAAAGGGAAAGGATTCATAAAAGAGTGAATCTGATCATATAAATCACATTTTTTATTGGCTAGATGCACAGATCATGACGATTATATTTTGGTTAACTAGTTCCTATTATTATTATTATAAATTTAGCCAGAGAATAATTTCTAAGATTAAAATCTTGAAGCGCTAGCATCTAAGGCTTTCGGCTTGTTAAATACTCTACCGCACTTGAGATTTGGACCCACGACGATTGAGTTGCTAGTCGAGACTCTTACCTACTTGACCACTTAGACTGATCGTTAACTGGTTAAATCCAATCATGAGCTCCAAAAGATCAAAATCTTTCACCAGGAGTGCTATTAGTCAAAAGTAATATCACATAACTTTCATGTCCTAGATGATTTGGTGAAAATAACTTTTTGTGTTGGAATGCAACATTCAATAAATTCCTGAATCTAATGAGAATCGAACTTACTTTACTACTATGATACGACACATGTCAATCTATTTAAATTGATTAAGGGTTTGGCAATATAACCGTTTAAATTCAAATATATAAACTTTTCGCTTAATTTTTGACATACGTTCACCAACATTTTTAATTTGCACGTCTACACTTTCAAATATACTTCTAAAAATTTATATATGGCAGTTTAAGGATTCGAAAGCTATGCTAGTTCTGAAGAATATAACAAAGCTTAAGTTCTGTGAAATCCTACTGTCCGTCTAAATGTATAAATACTACCTTTATTGCATTTCGGGCTACACTTAAGTGCCACTTTAAGACGATTTAAGGATGTAAGGGACGGACGCAAGTATCATTGTTGAGCTAATTTGTGACATTTAGAGGGTTTTTACATTTTTATCCCATGGGCACTTTACAAACGTTTAGAACTAACAAAAATGCAAGTGGCCTCCGACACTCTCTAGCCTGCCTTATCCATGGTCTCCAACGACGCATGATTTTCAAAGTGCGACCCCCATAATTACATAACCATATAAATTTATACACTTTCTTCTTTAGATTATTGAAGCTTTAAAACAATTTTTCACTTTAGCTATATTTGCTTAATTCTCAATTTCCCTTCCGTTCCAAGCAAGAAAAACATCACTATTCCCTTCGTACCAACAAAAACAGTCACCTTCTCAAGTCCGTCTCCTCCTATCTGGTCTTCTTGCACTTCTGCCTTTCATTTTTTCGTTCTTCAGCATGCCAGACTCTTAGGCCTCGCAATTATTTTGTTAGACGCAATTTTTCGTCGGTAAATTTGCCAACCCTACCTTCTATGATAATGTTGCAGGGTTGAGTTTATAAATAAACAGCGAAAGTCAAATGTTACAAAAACTGTAAATTTCTCCTCTCGCTTCAAAAGCTTTTCACATAAACTAAGCGTTGAACACACTTTTGCTTACTCTGT